CTGCTGTCAAAATATGTCAGAATTTCAGGAATTTTCAGTCATTCCCTCCCTGTCTTTAAGGTGTAGTCTGTTACTTGCATGGGCTATCATTAGGAACTCCTGAGGACAATGTTATGCAATCAGGAGAGGAAAAAGAGGCTTACAGTTCTCACCTTTACGTGATTACTATTAGTCTCACCTGATCCTTTATTACACATTTGGCACAACTGAATGGGAATGATGTAGAAGGAATATGAAAAAGAATACAGAAGCCGAGAAAATATGCTGAAGGTCTGAATATGCAACGTGTGTGTTAATGAAGCCTTATTTCCCAAAATATCTACAGGAGTCTTTTATGGAGCTGTTTGGACATAACTGTATTGAATCAAGTTGTTAGATGGACGACTATCTTTTTTACAGCAAGTATACGACTGAACTTCATGAAGTTTTGTTACAACCATTTGTATACATGTAGCTGTATAAAGAACAAATGTCAAATACAGTGATTTTATAGATCAGATTTGTATCTGGGATCATATTGTGCCTGTGACAATAAATCATAGTTTCTGGCCTTCTAAATGCTGTTTTCAGTTAATGACATGAAACACAGTACATGGTAGAGTAAGCAAAAGCTAATAAAACATCAAGATACTGGTATTATCCAAACTAAGGATATTTAAGAACACCAAAACCTGCCATTTGTTAGAAAGAGATAAAAAGAAAGAAACAACCTAGCTCCTAGAGAGCAATTATATAAAGCCAAAGATCTTCTCACTGTTTCTATATCTTCATGAGATACTAAAAATCGTAGGTCCATTCTGAAATCAATAATTAAGGGTAACCTTTATTTCTTGCATGATGCTTTAAGAATGTTTGCCAGTTACCAGCAAACTGCATTTACTTACAACCAAGTCAGAAATAAGTACAGAGCAGAAAGATGTTTTAGTCTCACAAAAGATAAGTTTGGTTTCTATGATTCCATATTTATTTATTGTTAATCATGTATTCTTGCCACCAGTTTCTCTTCCCAGAAGCAAAGCCCCTTCAAACAGCTGAGGACTTCTGCTAACAGACAAAATACATCAATCTCAACTTTCTTAGGTGCCACTCTGACAAGAATTAGTCAATATTCTAAGCTTAAGAAAACTTAACAGTCAATGAAATTGATCAATGGAAGTTGTAGAGATAGAAAATATACAAATTAAATGATGGCTATACTAGCTAAATGGGAATTCATTTGCCTTGTATAATAAAAATTCTGCATTCCAGGAAATCTTAGTGACCTTAATGTTGGTAATAGTCATAATGAAACTCAAAAAATTGTCTCACTGTTGTTTTTTTCCTGATTGCAAAGAAATCACCACAGGTAGCACACATTTGTATGTCAGATTGGTTTATATAATGTTTTAAACCATTCCTCAAACAATACCTCTTCACATTCAGTTTTTATGAGCCTAACTAGTCTGGCCAAGTGAAAAATAAGAAGGTTTGACAGTGCAGATATTCTAAGTAGTTTAGAACATGGTTCTAATGTTTCAGAACTGTGTTTATAACAGGATATAAAATTTTTCAGAAGATATCTGCTAGTTTACAGGTTTATGCAGAGGTGGTGAAGATCATGATACCAGACCAGAAAACATTACTAAGTACCAGTGTTTTCATGATAAGGATGGAGGGGCTGACACATTACATTTATTGAGGCATTTGGCTCCAGTGAGCTCCTAACAAACTCCTCTACAGATCATTTTATCCAGCAAGATACTTTACTACCTTGAAGTGTTCAGGACATTCCAACTTTGCCAATTATAAATGAACCAAGTGTCTACCAGTTTAGTCTTTTCAGTTTCCAGGTGAAAATTGAACCAATGCTATGAATATTTTAACTTCCTTCCTCTTTGCCACCACATGCCTTCAAACTTCAAACTCCAATAGCTTCCTATACAAGAGCAAGAAACTACCCTATCTTTATCCCCTGTTTCTCCTTCTCTTCTGCTACCATAAAGACTTCTTAATATGGTACTGGCACACTGTTCAGAAGCCATGCAGTTTGAATACTCACTAATAAGCCACAGTCACACAAAAAAATTTTCCTATCTACTTTCTGCTAACGATGATAATTCAGCTAATGAGAATAATTTCACAAATTGTAAATTTGTTATGGAATTTCTTTCCCTTTTGTTTTGCATCTCTTGGTGTTATTGTCAAACTTAGAATTAAAAAAAAAAAATAATTCTATCACGAGCTAGTGAAAGATACTGTTATGTGTACAAGCTGAAAACCTAATAAATCTATTTAATAGGCATGCCTACTAGGAAACTGTTATTGCTTCCAATAGTATCATTCATCCTAATATAACATTTGTTTCCAATTTCTAAAAACATGATGCACTCAGTCCCATGAGCGGAAACATGTTTAATGTCCTGTGATGCAATACAGCTGCAATTCAGAAAAAAGAAAAATTAAGGGCATAAGGGGGCCATTCCACATTAAAATCACTGTATGGATGTGTTAAAGGTTGGCTTTTGTGATTAATTTGTAGCTATTTAAATGATGACCTTTTACTGGTACTTCAGTGCTTTGGCAAAGGAAGGCAGTGTAACTGCCAGTATTCACAGATCATTTAATTGGAAGCACAGACAGTAAAATACGGACCAAAAATCATTTAGGATGTTTCTGACTCATATCAGGGGAAAATTTTATTGAATATTACAATTTCAGACTGAATGAAGCTTGCATTTATAAACTGAAAGTACGTAAAATTGCTTGTGATATGGGAAAAATATAAAAATGCCTTCATTTTTATTAAGAAACTTCATATGATTAATTAGATTCCAATCCTACAAAAATTCTGTAGTAGTTATGACAAGGGCAATATTTTTATTATTCTCTCCTTTTCCTGTTAGGAAAATAGAACACAGTTACAAATCACCCTTCTGACCAGGAAGCAGCAAAAATGCCCCTTATGAAATTACTGAACATCAACATTGGAGGGATACATCTGACTGAAATAGCATAAAGACCTTGTGCAAAGAGAAACTAATGGAATTTCAAATTCCATTTTAGAAGAGATACCAGACTGCTTCAAGAATGCTGGTGCTGGCTTAAAAGAGACCTTTGAGAATTGATCTGCAAGCTCACAATGACTTTCTTTTACTCCCATTGTGGTTATGGTTGGATAGCAGCAGTCAAGTATGGTATATGAGACATTATTAGGTGTACTGCTTCACCAAAAAACCTTTAGCCATTGCATTTTCTTCATCTCTATGCTATGCATGAAGGCAACCATATTTGCCACTGAAGTCACACAAAGCTTCTTAAAATGAACAAGGGAAAACAAAATCTGAAAATCGGACATTTCACTGCAAGTAGATAAAGCTCAGTCTAGAGCTCCCCACAGTTTTCAGATAGCTGGAGAAAGCATAGGAGACTCACAAATAGAAAGTCAGCCTCAGATCTTTCTTCCTTTACTGAGCTAATTTATGAAGCTTTTCCTTTCAGTCCATACGTTCTCAGAATTCTAGCATTATCATAAATTCTTCAAATATAACAGCTCCAGTTTTAAGCTCAATTTTTTTATAATATTTGATAGCAGAAGTGTAACAATGTTCAGGAAGTAAATTTGTTCTTCTAATCCTAAATTCAGCTCTGGAGAGATCAAGCATAAGAAGCTATCTTACCAGATTGTATCATGAACACAAACAAAAAAACCTCTCGAAACATTAAACTTACAGAATCAAAACTCCAATAATTTTCTGTAGCAAATCCCATGTAAGGGGAATAACTGTTTATGAAATAATTTTAAAAGTGAGTTTTCCATGCAGGATAAAGGTGTAGCATTAGTAATGTTCAACAAAACA